GTCTTGTTGTAGTTAAGCCTTGATTGATGTCGGGAATACCTGGGGTGATTTGACTTCCAGGCTAACTGGCTATGAGAGTCTGCTGTGTCTGCAGTGGGAGAGGTTCTGTGCTGGATCTCTAGGGCGGTGCTAATCTAACGTTTGCCTGAGGCTATCCGGCAAAAGGCTCTGGGCCGGGCTTGGGCGGGGAGGGTCGCACGGGAATACAGGGCAGGTGGAGGGAGCAGTTATGGCTGCTCTCAGTTCCGTCCCTAGGGGCTCTGCCTCTCAGAGTCCCAGCAACCACCGCAAACCTCGGAGAGAAAGCTGCCTTTGAGTTCTGACCGAAGCCAGAAAGTCCCGCTTCTCCCTTTTGAGTCTGGGTCCCCAGAGACTCGCCCTGATCTGGAGCTCAGAGTCTGAAACTCCCTCCCGATTGAAAACAACAACCACGCCCTCAGCCGCCAGCCCGCTCTGCACGCACTCCGCATCTTTAGTATTTCTCTTCAGCACTGTGCCTCCTCTGAGTCTGGGTATGATATTCTCTTTCCTCCTAGTTGTAGAATTTCCACTCAGCCAGCCTTCCTGTGGTTCTGGATGATGTCCGTTCCGTCCTTTTGTTGTATCTCTGAAGTGGTTGTTCTAGGCACCAATCTCCGGCGTTAACCTATGCCGCCATCTTGGTTTCTCTAAAAAAAGAATTAGAGTGAACATCCATATACCTACCTAACCTATATTCTGTGATTAACATTTGCCTACATGTACTTTATCATGTGTGTATCCATTTATCTGTTCCTCCATTATATGGTGATCCCTTCTTGATAATTTTAACCAGCTTCTGTGGCACTGAAGTGTCATGGTAAAGTTTACTGAAGTGACTTTATAATTGCCAATTGGAATATTTTTTAGTTTTGATCTTCAAGAAAGAGGATATCAAACTATAGTAAGACTGTTTTTGTACGTAATATTTTATTGGAATACAGCCACACCTATTTGATTACTTTCCAGCTTACAAGTGGTAGAGTTGAATAGTTGTGACAAAGACAGTATGGTCTGAAATAATTATTATCTGGTCTTTGAAGAAAGTTTGCCAACCCCTGTCTAAATCATTAGGATTGATTTTTTTACCTAGAAAGTTTTTCTTTGCTTTATTTCTGAAATAACAGTTCTCTTTTATCTTCATAGTTGTAGTTGTTCTTTCTTAGTTCCCACAATTATTTCTCTTCCCTTTTAAATATAGTTTATTGGTTCTGTTATATACACTCACTTGGATGATCATATCCACACTGATTTACCATCTGTATATTGATAAAATGTTCAGGCTAGACCTTTCTCCTGAGCCTAAGAGCCAATTTGGAACTGGATAGCTCTATCTAAATGTTCCATGAAAACCTCAGCTCAGCAGTCCCAAAACTGAGTGCAGAATCTTAAATCCTGCAAACCCATCATCTTTCTATGATACCATCATCAATTTAGTTAAATATCCAATCACAGTCTTGGTATTCTTCTCTAGGTATTTTTTTCTCTTGTTGATTCTCTTCCCATTATCTCTTTGTCATCATACTTTTCTGATTGCTGCAGTACACATTTTTAAAAATTTCTCATTTCTACTTCTGTGATAGAACTTCCCTTCCTCAGCCTCTTCCTTCCCCCATGTTCTACATTGATACCAGTTAGCCTTATAAAGTGCAAATCTTACTTTACTACTAAAACCCTATTAGCTCTATCACCTACTTGGTAAGTCTCAATTCTTTTTTCTTTTTTTTTAATATATTTTATTGATTTTTTACAGAGAGGAAAGGAGAGAGAAAGAGAGTCAGAAACATCATGAGAGAGAAATATCGACCAGCTGCCTCCTGCACACCCCCTACTGGGGATGTGCCCGCAAACAAGGTACATGCCCTTGACTGGAATCGAACCGGGGAACTTTCAGTCCGCAGGCCGACGCTCTATCCACTGAGCCAAACCAGTTAGGGCTCAATTCTTTTTTTTAAAGATTTTTTTTATTGATTTCAGAGAGGAAGGAAGAGAGAGAGAGAGATAGAAACATCAATGACAGAGAATCATTGATTGGCTGCCTCCTGCACGCCCCCTACTGGGGATTGAGCCCGCAACCCGGGCATGTGCCCTTGACTGGAATTGAACCTGGGACCCTTCAGTTTACAGACTGGCGTTCTGTCCTCTGAGACAAACTGCCTAGGGCATAAGTCTCAGTTCTTGAGTTTGCAAAGTTCCTCCATTTGAGCTATCTACATACTCAGCTTAATTCCCTAAATTCTTATTGTTCCTCAAACTCAACCTTTTTCAAGATGCACTCATTTCTACATGTCATTTTACCCAATCTGCCATGTTTCCTCTACCTTAGGACATTTTTGTTTGTTTGTTAATCCTCACCCAAGGATATTTTTCCATTGACTTTTAGAGAAGGTAGAGGGGAGCGTGAGAGACACAGAGAGAGAAACATCACTGTGAAAGAGAGAGACACGTTGGATTGGTTGCCTCCAGAACTGCCTGACTGTAACTGACGTAAGTGCCCTTGAACAGAGTTGAACCCAGGACCCTTCAGTCCTTGGGCCGACACTCTATCCACTGAGTCAAACTGGCTAGAGGCCTGAGGAAACATTTTTAGTCCTCACCCGAGGATTAGAGAGAGGGAGGGAGGGAGAGAGAGAGAGAAAGAGAGAGAGAGAGAGAAACAGAGAGAGAGAGATGAGAGAGAAACATTGATCACTTGCCTCCTGTGTGCACCCCAACCAGGAACAGAACTCACGCCTTTTTTTTGGTGTATAGGACGACTCTCCAACCAACTGAGCCACACCGGCCAGGGCTACCTGATGAAACTTTTCCTCTTAGCAAGCTTCTCTTTTCTCTTGAAAAGTTGTTCACTCCTTGTTTTATATACATATATTCTTCTTAAAATATTCTATTTGTCTCCAAGTGCTTAGAATTATGGTTTTACATGTTATATATATATGTATATGCTATCCATTCATTTTTGGTACTTAGAAGCATAGCCTGAGTCCCAGCTTTGGTTTCCTATTTAGTGATGAGGTGGACTCAAAGATTTCTTCTAGCTCCTAAACAAGCCAATAGTTTGACTTATTTTCTTGTTAAGATTTAATATTAGAAACTATATCATTTTAAATATAACAAAATCTCGGTGTTAAAATACTAAAGATGTATAAAATACTTCTGAAAGAAAGTGAATTCCTCAGTTATTTTAAGTGTATACTTTGCTTTATTAAATAATGGAATATTTGAGAATAAATTTACCTCTTTTCAATCCATATGGGAAGTTTTATCCTTTACAAGTGTTGTATGGTAAGTTCATAATCATCTCAAAACATGTGATATAAATTAGGGCTTTGCATATGTGTTCTTTTTTTTTTTTTGAATCTTTATTGTTGATATATAGGGTTTTCTTAAATCGCTATACGCTGATACAGCTCTAGCAAAACAGTAAAGTCCAGTTGTGTACAGCCTGAGCTATGGTTAATTAATGTCCACATTATTTTAGAAACTAGTAATTCTATTTAGTTGTGTAATATTTGCCCTACACAGTTTTTAGAAACATCTCTAATTAGAAACAATCTCTAACACCTCACTTGACTTAGTATTAGTTTTCTACTACTTACATTTGAAATTGGAGATCAGAGTTGATAAATGTTATTTGTATTTCTTTCATCTATACAACTTAAGAATTCTAGCTTATGTTATAATAATGTTAGTTTTTTTGCAGTGGAGAGTGAATCAATAACATTTAAAACCTACATTAGTTTTATTTAAAAAAAGCAGGTTATCAGGCAGTTAGAACTTAGCTAGTTATAACTCTATCGTCATGTCAATCCAATTTTTTTTTTTTCTCATGTAGTACAAGCAAAATCCTGAAATGTTCAAACAGACAGCTCGACTCTGGGCACATGTGTATGCTGGAGCACCAGTTTCCAGTCCAGAATACACCAAAAAAATAGAAAACCTATGTGCTATGGGCTTTGATAGGGTAAGTAACATAGAGGCATGCTGTTTTTGATATGTTCATTGATTTTAAATGATTGCAGCAAATTCTTGGCTGACAGAATTGGTTCAAAAATACTCTGAATTTAGTTTTGATATATGAACTTTTTGTTATTAAAAATCAATGATTTTTCTTTTCCTTTTACTCATTCCAATCATTTGTTTTAGAAGCTTTTTATGCACAAGTGCAACTCAGCATAAAGATAAAAAAACAAAAATAGGGTGTGGTTTCTAAATATAAAAAGACAGGGAAGTGATTTAAGATATTTCCTTGAGATTTAATTTTTTTTTTGTCCCCCTTTTTATTTCTACAGAATGCGGTAATAGTGGCCTTGTCTTCAAAATCATGGGATGTAGAGACTGCAACAGAATTGCTTCTGAGTAACTGAGGCATAATGAGAGAGCTGCTGATATAGTCAAGCTTGCCCCTTCTTGAGGAGCATCAACATCTGTTATTTTTAGGATTCTGCATAGATTTCTTTTAAACTGGCATTCTTGCCTAATGATGTTATCTAGGCACCATTGGAGACTGAAAAAACAAAACAAAACATCCCTGCTCTGTAAATAAAGCTAATTAAACGTCTGTGTAAATTTAAAAAGGGGAAATACTTTAATTTTTTTTCTTACTTAATAGTGTAAAAAATTTTTGAGCTAAGCGAAACCATGGAAAAAAACATGCTACTTTAGTATTTAGCAGTGTACCAGAATAGCAAGAGTTTGCTTCAGGGTTTTGTTGAATAATTAGGTAATATTTTGAGTGTGTCAGGACCATTCAAATTGTTGGTGTTGCATCACAGCTACCTTAACTGTTTTTAACATGGATCCTCTGTGCCTGTGAATTTACTTGCATGCTTGTACTTGACTTCTTAAGATGGGTAGCTGAAAAGACCACCATTTTAAGCATTTGAGAATTCTTAAACTTGAGGTTTATCTAGAATGAAGATGGTGACCTATTCAGAGCCTTTTTGTCCTGGTCAGCAGACTGGGACACTATATTTATTTTTCCTCTCTTGCCACACACAGCTAATATCCTAATAGTAAATTCTCTGGGAAATGTGCTGAGGGACAGTATCCCTTGCTTCATTTTTTAGGTTGTCCATATGGAATGTTATGTCACAGTTCTTTATTCTTAAAAACGTTCCTATGTTAAGTAATAATGGAAAGATGGAGCTGCCAATTTTGTTTCTCTTGCAAATCAGTAAATACTTGATGTTGCAGTATTCCCAAGATTTAATAAATGAACCCAACTTAGTTTTTCAAGAGAATTTGACATCTATTTTTAGGCTGATGAAGTTTTTCTTTGAGAACTCGAAAAGATGAAATAAACCAACTGCAGTTTTTTAGCCAAATTTTGGCTTTATAGAGATTGCTTTATCAGACTCTTTAAAAGTCACTCTTGCTTGCATTTCCCCCTATTTACACATAAAAGCTGTGTTGGTGTTTAACTGTACATACTTCAGATGCACATAGGAATAGAAATGTGTTATAAATCTAGCTTTCTTTATGATGTTTCTGATAATACGAAAATTGAAAACTTTACCTTCTCTTGTACATATAGTCAGACTTTCTGTGTATTAAACTTACATTTCATTCTAAATTCTAAAGTTTGAAAATTTTTAGTTTTGCAAGTTCAAACACTAATGTGACCATTTTATGAAGGTTGAAATGGATTTATGCAGGCAGTTCTATGCATAGAAACACAGTTCTTATTAAATTTTCAGGACAGTGCAAATAATAAAAATGTAATGGAATTGGAATTAATTAAAGCAAGGCTGTACATTGAAAGTCCTATTATAAAAGGTTTGCTTTCTTCAAGTGTTATTTATCCTAAATTATAATTGTTAAGTGTTTGGAAAATAATTTTAAACCATAAATTCATCATAATTTCATTGAATTCTCAATAATCTTAGAAGCAATAAAAGAACCATTGTTAAATATATTGTAACGTTAAAGATGTGAAGGTTCTTCCAAAAACTTGTAAGGCTTTCCTAATCAATAGTAAACTCTAGTAGTAGATATTGCATACTAAACACAAGTTGCTATGTTTTTTTCCCTATATGTTTGCTTAAGCATAAATTTCTTTATACAATCACCTCCTTTAATTGTAGTTTAGTTTCTTTCTAAAGATGCCAAAGGAAACAAGATTTTTCTTTATTTATTTTAAATAACTAATACCTTGTACTTTTCTTTATATTTTGAAGTAAGGTTGGAATTATGTGAAAATGTGGACAGTTTTGTTGCATTGTTGGTTAGAATTTTTTTTTAAGTGGAGGGCAGCTTGGTAATATATTTGGATTATTTTAAATATCCAACATCTACCCAGTTTACTAATTGCTTGTATTTTCAGGGTATATTTAATTGTCCTGTGGTTAGACAAAGGAGAGAGCTCAGAGGTTACTAAATGTCAAGCATTACTTAGCTCTGGGAGGCAGCTATACCTTGCCTTTGATTTTTATGCACATTAGCCCATAGGGTATCTATCTATTCATCTAACTATAATTAAACATCCCAGTGCCCAGGAAATTGAAAAGTAAAATATTTGGTATGAGAGGTTCTCCATAATGGATTTTTCATTTCAAAATTATTTACCTCATTTTCATTTAATGTGATAATTCTCCTTTCTGGAACACTGTCATCCTAATTTGTTTTTTTCATATTTCTCTATAGGTGGATTTATTTTCCTAAACAAAGAAATTAAAGCAATTTCTTTTTTTCTCTGGCCTTATATATGTTTAGAAAAAGGACACTAAAAGTACAGGTCTAGGTAAAAGGTACCCTGATAAAAAATTATTTTTATAATTCTCAACTTTTTTGTGATTTTCCAGTTTTTTTTAAAAGCCTCAAAAACAGTGGTTAAAAATATATATTTAGGGATGTCTTGTTTACGGCAGGCAGATTTGCTAGAAGACACTGATACTCCAGCAGGCTTTTATTATAATCAAATCTATTCCGTGAGTATGTGCCTGACTTTTACAACAACAAATAATTGTATAATATTTCAGTACAGATAACTGAAAGGATGAATAGCTATTTGTGACCCAAATAAGTATATAGTAAGTAGTTTATAAATATTTGAAGGACTTGTACTAAATTAGATGCTCTGAGTTGGTTCCCACAAATTTTTGAAATTGTGACTATGGTTTACTTAAACACAACACATTCAGTTATATAAATATGTTTGGATTCTGAGTATTTTGCTTTTAAGGAGAATAATCTATGAAATGAAAGTAAGACTGATGGGGGGGGAGTTTTTCACATTTGTGGTTGTTGGTGACGCTTAAAACTATGCAAAATAATTTTTTTAAGTATCCAAGAGAATTGGCAGTTGGGTGGGTATTGCTTACTTATTATGCACTACAGAATGTAGCATATCGTGTTACTGTTTAGGCTGCTTAATAAGTTTATCAATGTGAAAGTAGATCTTGGCTATAAGTTTACACCTGATTTGAGCTTTTAAAACTCTGCAATGGGAGTAAGATAATGTTTCCACAATCTTGTAGCAACAGAGGAAAGAAAGCATTTTGTTGTTTCAAAGATTTCAGATAAATTCAGGCAGGGAAGCGTTGGAGCCAGGTATACTTGTATATAGATGGAAACAATGTTTGGATATGAAAAAGGAAGCCGTCTGTTTACAGTTAACTTTATTTCATGGACTTTTACAAAATGATGTATTAAACACTTTTTCTAGTTCAAGAAATTTCAATTCCAGGGTACAAACCATTGATTTAAGAATTTTGCATTTCTATTCTTTTAGTACCAGTTTAAAATAATGCTTACCAGCTCATTGCTACCACTAGGGAAGAAGGCAACTTGAAGTATTTACTGATAAATAGCCTTTTCCCCAAATGCGACTTTTCTGCAGTGTCTGCATATTATGTCACATGTTCTATTTGCACTGCTGCAACATGGATCAAAAATCTTGTGGCACAGGGGTAGAGGAATGTCAATATCTCTCCTGTCCTGTTCCCTTAACGCTTTATTGGACTGATCTACCCTCAGAAACCTGTGATCATCACCTAAATGTAAGTTGAGAATGTGTCACCTTCTGCTTGGGTATTTTAACCGTGCTGCTCTATATGTAATCAGGTGTGGCACAGTTTATCAGTTTGGCTCTAGCAGGTGGGTGGATACAAATCATTGCACTGTGCTGTTAACCAATCCTGTGTGCTTGCTGTACCTACTTTCTACAGGCATCATCATAAAAGCTAGACTATTTCTTTTGGGGGGAAAGAGACTTATTTAATGTAATTTAAAGACTTTTCCAATAGAAAATGAAATACTATTGAAAATAATATCTATTTTTTAGCTTTCAGCAATTGATGGTGCTTTGTTGTGGTGTCTGCTGGAAGTCTACTGCCATTGTAGGGATTCTCATTAACCTCACTAAGAAAGAACCTTGCTTGTTAGCTTCTCTAGATCTCTATTCTAAACCATCTGTTAGTGATGATAAATCTGTAGGAGGGTCTATCCTAAGCCGTTAACTTCCTGTATGGGGAAAGTGGGTGGGTTACCAGAAAGACCATGAAGCAGGGTGGGCTGTCGGGGGAGGGTTGGGTATTTGTCTTGAGAATTAAAACTACGAAACACTTTTGTACACAACTGATTTTTTTTAAAAAAAATAAACACATTTTTAAAGATGTTGAATTTTTTTTCCCCACTTACTGGGAATTCTTAAAAATAAATGCATGCATGCTTTCCCCCTGAAAATGGTTTATCTTCTTTCTGGGTGTTCATCTGTGGACAGGCGGCTAAGCCTCCATATAACTTTAAACAAGAAAAAGAAGTGGGTAGTTGTTTCTCCTAGACAAGTTTTAGAATGATGAGCATATGATGATAGATGCAATAAATTATATTGGGTCTGTATTTAAGAATGAGTTGAAATTGTTTAATTCTAATTAAAATTATTTATTTGAAAATAGAACATTATTTAACTAGGTTCTAATTCAAAAATTAGTGTAATCCAGAGTGAGTATTAAAAGTAATTTTGTTCTGTTTTCATAGTGCAAACAAATCTTTCTGGAAAGAGTCCTATTACCATAGAAAAGACTGAATTGTTTCAGAAAGTCTTGGGTCACTATCCTTGGATTACCCTCTGCCTCCATTAGGAATGATAATTAGAAGAGGTCATGTTGATTAGGATTTGTGCTAGTTATTTTACAGAGCAAACTGATCATTACTTTGTATCTCTAGGGCATTCATATCGAGCTTTCAGCAGTCCTTAGTTTCTCTAACCTGAAAATGGAATTGCTCCTGAATGGAATGCCAGTATGAAGTGCTCTTTTCATGGAGCAAGCTGGAGCTTTTCAAATTAAAAATCAAGGATAACAAATGGAATTCAACTGAGCTGTCATGCCAATCCCCAGCAAAGAATGGTCAGATTTAAAGGGTAGTAAACACTTGGTACGTGTTTTTATTCAATCATCAAAGATTTACAGATTTTCAGTAAATAACATGGATTCTCTGATAAAAGGTTTTAGGAGTATGTCCTATAGCGGTGATGGCGAACCTATGACATGCGTGTCAGAGGTGACAAGCAAACTCAGTTTTTTGGTTGATTTTTCTTTGTTAAATGGCATTTAAATATATAAAATAAATATCAAAAATATAAGTCTGTTTTACTATGGTTGCAAATACCAAAAAATTTCTATATGTGACACGGAACCAGAGTTAAGTTAGGGTTTTCCAAAATGTTGACATGCCGAGCTCAAAAGGTTCACCATCACTGTACTATAGTAACATACTATCTATGTATGCATGTAATGTTCATTTCACCCCATTTATTTTAGTAAAAATACATTAAAGCACAACTTTATCATTTAAATTTCCTATTATATATCACCTTGTAAGATGTTGACGCAAAGTTGTGTAAATATTCAGTTTACAATACTTGTAGACTCTTTTTCCTTTTAATATATTTTTATTGATTTCAGAGAGAGAAACATCAATGATAGAGAATCACCGATCGGCTGCCTCCTGCATGCCCCCCACTGGGGATCAAGCCCGCAACCCAGGCATGTGCCCTTGGCCAGAATCGAACCTGGGACCCTTCAGTCTGCAGGCCGGTGCTCTATCCCCTGAGCCGAACCAACTAGGCTGTAGACTCCTTTTCTCTTCTTTTTTTAAAAATATATTTTATTGATTTTTTACAGAGAGGGATAGAGAGCTAGAAACATAAATGAGAGAGAAATAATCGATCAGCTGCCCCCTGCACTCCCCACTGGGGATGTGCCTGCAACCAAGGTACATGCCCTTGACTGGAATCGAACCTGGGACCCTTCAGTCCGCAGGCTGACGCTCTATCCACTGAGCCAAACCGGTTAGGGCTGTAGACTCTTTTTCAATGTACATACATAGACAAAATTTTAGAAACCCAAAGTGTATCTTATTTCTTACTGAGTAAACATACCTCGTACTTTGCTGCATGTACAGACTATACCTAATTTAACTTAAGGGCAACTAATAGTACTTTTTCTTCACTTAACATTTAGCTCTAATTATTCTGTAGCTCTTCGTTTTCAATATGTGAAATACATTCCTTTGCTATACACATTCATTATTGTTTGCATTACGTTGATAGATGAATGAACTTTCCTAACCAATATTGAGGAACAGGGTTAGTGACATTCCACTGATACCTTCTAACCATAGTTATAGAATTTTAAGGAAAAGGGAGACCTTCCAGTCTTTTACCCCCTAGTTTTATAAAATCCTTTAAAAAATAATCAATTAAATGGGTTGGATATCCAGAGTAACAGGTTATTTTTGGTAGAAGTCCCATAATACTGCTATTTATATGTGCCTACTAGGTAGCATTTTCAAGTCTAAAATATTCTTATTTTTGTTTTTCCTTAAAGATAGGAAATGGAGGGGTCATTTGCAAGCATGAAAAGGAAAACTCAGTTCAGGTGGAGTGAGGTCTTCAAGGAAAGTGATTTTTTACAGAGAGGGATAGAGAGCTAGAAACATAAATGAGAGAGAAATAATCGATCAGCTGCCCCCTGCACTCCCCAGTTTTCCAGAGGACCAAACCAGTTTTCATGGTGTGAGTTGAGCAGAATGTTTTGGTGAAGCAGTGCCAGCTGTATTTAGGTCTCCATGACTTCCGCTGAAGTGTAAAATGCACTAACATACTTTTATCCTATTTTTGGAATAATAGAATACATAGCAGTGTTCTTGGTTTAGGGGGCCCACAGAAAATTAAGTGGCAACATCTCATTGGCCCTAACATTTATTTTTTTCCATTACAGATACTTTAGTTCTCAATTGCATAATGGCGTATTTCTGTGTGTAAGGAGAGGTGTAGCTCCTCGGAGGTTAATCTTGTAGAGGGAAAGTCCAAAGGCAAAATTTTTGGTAAGGAAACATTCAGGATAACCATCTGCTGAGGTGGTTACTAGCATGGTTCATTGTTTTCATTTAAAAACTACATTTAGCCAAAACCGGTTTGGCTCAGTGGATAGAGCATCGGCCTGCAGACTGAAAGGTGCCAGGTTCGATTCCGGTCAAGGGCATGTACCTGGGTTGCGGGCACATCCCCAGTAGGAGATGTGCCGGAGGCAGCTGATGTTTCTCTCTCATCGATGTTTCTAACTCTCTATCTCTCTCCCTTCCTCTCTGTAAAAAATCAATAAAATATATTTTTTTAAAAAAAAAAAAAATAAAAACTACATTTAAATTTTTTTTTTTTTTAGAATAAGAGCATCCTAGGAATGTTCTTTTTATTTTTCTTTTTTTTCTTCTTCTTTTCTTTCTTTTTTTTCTTTTTCTTTTTTTTTCTTTTTTTCTTTCTTTTTTTTTCTTTTTTTCGATTTTTTCTCTTTTTTTTTTTCTTTTCTTTTTTTCTTCTTTTTTTCCTCTCTTTTTTTTTCTTCAATATATTTCATTGACCTTTTACAGAGAGGAAGGGAGAGAGATAGAGAGCCAGAAACATCGATGAAAGAGACATCAATCAGCTGCCTCCCGCACATCTCCCACTGGGGATGTGCCCACAACCCAGGCACACGCCCTTGACCGGAATCGAACCTGGGACCTTTCAGTCCGCAGGCCGACGCTCCATCCACTGAGCCAAACCGGTTTCGGCACATTTAAATTTTTATACTAAGTAATGGAAGAGTTCATTGTGGAAAACCTATGATTATCATTCTACCTTTAATACTAAGCCATAGAGACAACAGTTATTTATTTTTATTTTATTTTTTAATTGAGACAACAGTTTTTAAATGTCTGATATTTGTTTTTAGGTTATCCCTCTTTAGGTAACTCTAGGCTTCTTTTGGAACAGTCATATTTCTGTCCCACCAATTATACCTGGTATCTCTTGATTCTCTAATTTTGTCCCTAACCTTTATCTTTAGGTACTAATGGGATTTAGGTTGAGGGAGGGCTGTTGAATGCACAAAAGGACTGAGATGTAGAGTCCTGGGGGCAGGGTGTATATAAGTAAAGGGCATCTCACTGATGCAGAAGCTTGGAACTGAGGTAGAGTTAAGGAGAAAGTATAATGGAACGGGGCTGCTTAGAGTAGAGTAGCAATTAATGATGAAGAGATGGAAAGATTATGTCTAAAGTGGTCATTGATATGGTTGATTTAAAGTCCTCAACAGCAATTTTAACGCCACATCCTACATTCCTGAAGGGGAGGCAGGCGCACTCCTTGTTACTTACCTTTACCCAGCGTATGTCCCATGGACCATCACTGTAACATCTTGTCCCTTGCTTCCTGACATTCCTGGCAAAATCTCATTTCTCTACCCAGTCACCTCATACCTGCATAACAATTTACCTGGAGAAAACAGTTGTGCGGACTTCTCACTATCAACTGGTAACCACTATTCTCGACTGGGACACTATCACTTAGCTTTAATCTCTGTCGCCCTGATCATAGCCTTCCATTCTGTGAGGTGACAGTTGCGCAACTTACTTGCCTTGAATCTCTGACAGCTTCTAATCCCACAGCTAAGGAATTAATTTCTTGTATAAGAGAAGCAAGGAGTACATCTCATCAAGTGTATCAATAGAATGTATGCTGCTTACCATGGTGACAGTATCTGCCCCCTCTGACCCTCGTCACTCTTCGGGCCTTATCCCTTTCTGCTCCCCCTAGTAGACACACTGGCCTGTAGCATTAGTCAGATGCACCAGGCTTCTCAATCTCAGCCCTTCGAGTAGCTGTTCTCTGCCTGGAATGCTCTTCTCCCAGATCCTCACATGTCCTGCTTAAACATTTTATTCATGTTGCTGTTCAAATGATCATTCTAACTGAAATCGCTTTTGCCTCCATTCAGCGCTCCTCCCGCTTAATTTTTCTTTTTTTTTCTTTTATTATTATTAGTTAGGGTATTACAAATGTGTCCTCATCCCCCCCATTTAATTTTTCTTTATGATGCTTCCTATTAACCTGCTTTTTAAAAAATTATTAATTTCAGAGAGAGGAAGAGGGATAGAAACCAATGAGAATCTGATTGGCTGCCTCCTGCACACCCCCTACTGGGGATTGAGCCTGCACACTGGGCATGGGCCCTGACCAGGAATCAAACCTGGACCTCAAACACTGAGCCACACCAGCAGGGCTTAACCTGCTTTTTAATTTTGTCCAACATAGGGTTGGGACTTTTTTTTTTTTTTTTGAGGGGTGG